ATACATACTATATTATAAAACATTTGACAAAAATATTTAAAAACCATTTTTATGCATGAAGTACTCTTTATTGATGCGTATTACTTAAAATTCAAGATTATAAGTAATTTTTCGTAAGTACAACTTATTAAAGCTTCATTTTAAACATATAAAATCTAAAATATAATTAAGATAATTATTGAGTTTTAACAGAATGTTTCATTATTATCTTTATAAAAAACTTATATTATTAAACCAAAAATAAATTACTTTGTTATTAAATCTAAATTAAATTATAATAATTTTTTAATTAAATAAGTTACACAAAAAAAATGAGAACTATTAAATAGTTAATTTGATACTAATATCGATTTATTTTTTTAAAATTTTTATGTTATTTTCAAATTTTATATTTCATTCAAAAATAAAAACATTATCGTTTTCTTAAAACCACATAAAATCATATTATATCAATAAAAACAAAAAATAAAAATTAAATATTAAAATCGAAATTTATTTTGTTGCTTTGCACAAGTACCCTTCTACTTTCTTAATATTAAGAAAGCCGTTGAGATTGAGTGAATGATTTTTGGTAGTGTGCATTAATAGTTGTACGGTACTAATAATTGATGCATAACAAGCACGTGCATCACCACCAATCATTTATGAGCACAAAATTAAAGAGGTTCACTTTTTGGTTTTTATACCAACGGATGGTTTACCAAACGATTATTCGGGTAAGCGTTTATCAAGTCATATTAGAATAAGGTAAGAATTAAAAATCTTACCCAGTAAGAGCGATACAAGAACAAAGAGTCTTACTCGGTAAATTGTTACATACGATGTCGTTTTGGTGGACTAAAATCTTATCCGATAAGTAAATAATAGTGTTAAATTTTATCAGTAAGCACTTAACGAGTAAGTGTTTTAAAACGGCCAATAAATAAATGAATGGAATTTGTATTTTACAAAAAAATTACTATAAAATCACTAATGTATTAGAAATTATAGAATGTTTGAGAATTTTGAGAAAAAAACATGACAAATTTTTAAATTGCGTTACGGCAAGGTCAAGTCATATATATGATTACAGGGTCAGGTTTAGGGAAAACTGTAAAAAAAAACTGAGGAACACACCGTTGTATATGCACATGTGCATACAAGTAATTAGTATACAATTTGTCCAATATGTACATGTGTATAACATGCACACTAGCATAAAAACCAAGAAACAATTTTGATTACTTGTACGCACATGTGCATGCCGTTCAGATGAATGGTTACCAGGGTGTTCATTAATTTTTCATCTTTTTTGGAGTTTTTCTCTGAACCCCCCTCTATAATTATATACATAAAAATATATTTTCGTTTATTGTTTGATAAGTCAATGATATTAAACAATTTAAGTTAGATTATTTATTGTAATTAAAAGGTAAGACACTAAAAATGTAAAAAAAAATCAATATCACGTTACAAAAACAAAGCAGTGGGTCTTGGTGGACGATCGCAGATGTCGTGACGAGTATTTTAGAACACTACTTATATGTAGAGCAACCAAAAGTGGAGTGAAGTCCATGCTTACAACTAGGTCTGTTCATCGGTTGACATCAATTGGATATGAGGGGAACCGAACTGATCCAATCATCCATTGGATGTTGGATTTTGCCAACCAATCTGATCTGATTAACACTGTATAATCGATTCAGTCCAATCCAATGGGTGATTGGATTGGTTTGGTTCCATCTATTTGATACTTTTATTGGATATCCAATGGATGATCCGATGGGATTGGATTCATCCAGTGTGTTGATTCAGTCTAGTTCTCCAATAATGATACAAATTAATTAATCATTTTTAATATGTGTTAAAACTAACACAATGGAAGTTAAAAATTCAAAACCTCACATAAAAACAAATTCCAATTTGAATAATTTAAAAACAAATTATTAGATGATAGTTGGATAATGGTTGGATGGACAACTAGATGGTCGTCGGATGATTAATTGAACGGATAATTGGATGTTGATCGGTTCAGTTTTAGTCGATTCTGGACTACCATCCGAGAACCGACCGATCCAAATTGGATGTTGAAATTTTCAATATTATCCGATCCAATAATTGGATATCCAATTATGGTCGGTTAGTTCTAATTGGAGCAGTCAATTCCAATTGGATCGATTGATTTTCTGCACATCTCTACTTATAACAGCAGTCCAACATTTCTGGTTTCAGAGTTTCCAAAGGAATCTCCATAATTTCTTCAAAACAAATAAAGGAAAACCCAAATATTCAATATATTTAATAACCTCAAAAAATTTCAAATAAATTTTATATAAAATGGTAATTTTAAGTTCTTTTTCTTCCAAAATAATTAAGAATATTAATTAATACTATAAGGGTGGTGTTTGATTGGTTTGAGTTTGGCTTCAAAGGTTAAAAGTACCAGAAGGTTTCAAGTTCAAATCCAAGGACAAATAAAAGTCCACTTGTGGCGATCTTATAACTTTAATAATTTAATTTTAAAATATATTAATATAACTTTAATTAATGATAAAAAAATATCAATTATAAAACACAAACTGCCTAGGCAGGCCTGTCCATATTTATTTTTACGTCGTCCATGTCCGTCCGTTAATTTTATCAAACAAATCTGGGCCCGTCCATTTTCTCGATAATGGTTGTCCAAGTCCGTATTTCTAATGGGTCGGATGGGCCAGGTTTAAGGGATCATCCCGCCCATGAACAACATTAGATTAGATGCATCTAAAACTATGAACCAGTTATCCATGCATTTCACTTAAAAAGAGTACTCGTCAATAAATATTTACCAATCCAATTATAGTGTTCGGTTAGTCATTTGAAACTAGAATGCATAAAAAACCGAAGCCTTGGCCTACCCGAAAAAGACCGGGCCTAGTAAGCTCGAAGCTCGATCCGGGCCATGCCTCAAAGTAGAGATGTCCGAATTATGGTTATGGACCGCTTGTGGACCGATGGTCCTGGACCAGTTACAAGGCCCGCCCAAGACTGGCTACGAGATCGGTACCGTTACATATAGAGCGATTTTTTAGGAAAAAAAATTAAGTTTTTGTAAATTTATATATCAAGTTCTTCAAAATTTGCAAGTTTATTATCAAAAACTTATACGGGTTGCATTTCGTTCACATAATGTTTTTGGATGAGATGGAATTTGTCAAAGGAATTTGACTTTAAAAGAATTGGAACGGAATGTTGTCAGGTTTGACCAGTTGTTTGGTTGATAGACATTGGAATGAAATTTGTTAAAAGAATTGAAAATTGTCTGTTTGGTTCACCGAATGTAGCTTTTGAATTAGAATGAAATGTTGGTAACTGATCAAAATGCCCTTTTTTGAAAATTTTAAATTTTTTCAAACTAAAAATACTTTTAATAAAATAATTATTTAATGTGTAAAACAATATAAAATACACAACATCCCTAATGCATTAAGCATATAATCAACATAACAAGAAAAGATTATTAATGCAAGAACGAAAATCGAGCATAAAAAAATCGAATTTTAGGTTGTCATTATAAAGAAATACAGCAGGAAAAAAAATGAACAGGAAAAAAAATCGTGCCGAAAAAATAAAGTAGAAAAATTTCTTGTTAGTAAAAACGAGTTGAAAAAAGAGTGAATCGAGCAGGTAAAAATGAGCAAAAAAAGCGGGCAGAAAAAAATCGAGTAGAAAAATTTATTTATTAGTAAAAACGAGTGAACTGAGTGAGAAAAAACGAGCAAAAAAATCGAGCAGGAAAAAGACGATATTGAGGAGCAGAAATTGAAAGTAGAAATCGAGCACATATAGTATCGTGAAATCGACCCTGGTGAAGCCATGGAGAAAAGAGAAATTGAACCTGAGAAGTGACGATGAGAAATAAAAAATCATTGCAATGGAGAAGGTGTGCCTCTATTTTAACATAAACTAGAAAGGTACTCGCGCAATACAACGAGATACATCTTGATTTTAATATTTTATTTTATTATTTATCTCAGTCGATGTTATAGTATGGTCTTATGTGATTTTGAAAAAACGATGATGTTTTTATTTTTGAATAAAATATAAACATGAAGATATCATAAAAATTTGATAAAAATATATCGATAATAGTATCAAATTAACTATTTAAAATTCATATTTTTTGTGTAATTTTTTAATTCAATTTTTTTATTATAATTTAATTTAGGTTCAATAACAAAATAATTTATATTTGGTTTAATAACATAATT